TGGAACCGGCCACAGCCCCCACTGCACGCTGCCGGTGGAGAAAGTGATGTTGCAGATGAGGAAGATGTTAGAGATGGAATAGCCAGGAATAAAATGGCAAAAGCAGTGTCCCCAAAGTGAGGGAGGGGAAACCTGCTCTTGTGCTGCATTCCTGGAGCTGTGAGGTTTATCTAATATGGCATTAGCATCAGCCCAGTTAGAAGAGGTGGTTCTGTTTCTGCACTAAACTCTGACTGATAACAGCCACCGGGGTGAAAGCCAGAGTAAATCACTGGTAATACTGACATGAAAACAATATATGCCACAACCAAAAACAAACGAAGCAAAAAGTGTAAGCAAACAAACCAAAAGCAACACATAAGCTGGCAGAATTCAACCAAAAAAAAAGAGAGAGTTGGAGATCAGTGTAAATTTCTCAGGTGGAAGGCTCAGGAATGAAATTCCCTTGATGTTACATAAACCTCACCCCTGCTCATCACTCCATCCTCATCCTCTGTCACCCACCATATACACTGAACTGCAGAAAAAGTCCATAAAAGCCTCCACATAAACTTAGGTTTCTTAGCCCTTTAGTATTCCTGCAGGGATGAGGTCTAGAGAACCATCTCACAGGGGAACACCTGGTTCCAAGGTGTCCAGGGAGGGCACCCAAGCAGAAGCCCCCTCTCTGGACGGAGTGGAGTCCATCTTTCTCCACAGCGGACCTCAATAACAGGGGCTGTTCCCTCTGAAAGTGATCCAGGAGCAGATGCTGATCTCAGAGACGAGTGGGCACATCGCAAGCTACAGATGTGAGGCCTGGCAACCCAAGTGACAGCTCAAACAGGATCGCCACGGATGAGCCAGGCCAGCTGGTCTGTTCCCCTGGCTGGGAGCAGGCCTCAGAATGCTCCTGCCTCTCTTTTTCTGATGCGTCACAATTTACCCTTTTGTTGTTCCAGAACATTCTGGAGCACAGGGGGCGCATCATCCATCGTGGTGAGACATCTGCTTGTGATGACCAAGGGCTCAAGCCCAGAACATCCCAGCATCATCCTGGAGGCGGCCACACGGTCACCCTCTGCCTGCTCATGATCGTTGCCCTTTCACTGGTTCACAAATCAAGAAGAGAGGAAAACGCACTCTTAAGTCTGGCAGTGACAACAAATCCCAAAAGATAAATTCATTTTATTAAGAGTGAAGCACAAAATAAATACTCACCCATGTTCTGAGAAGACAAATGTGCTTATTGACTCCAGCAAAAACTGGGTTTCCATTCCCTTCTCTAGGGGATCTTCATGACCCAGAGATCAAAACCGCGTCTCCTATATTGCAGGCAGATTCTTTACCATCTGCGCCGCCAGGGAAGCCCCAAGCAGGAGAGCACGTCCATCTATGTTGGCCCCATCCATGGGGCTTGACAACAACCAGCTTTCACTTAGGTTTTCAGTGGCTCAGAAGCGAAGGAGGCAGTCTCAATTTCTGCTGCTCCTGTCAGTGTGGCTCATGGAGTCCAAGGATAGAAAACATCAGCTCTGAGGACTGATCTTGAACATGAGGAGAAACAGAGTCCCAACAGATGGAGCCCCTCTAAGCCAAAAGGGCACCTGCTCAAACAGTTACTTTGCCACAAGTTTGTAGGGGAGAGGATGTAAACTCTAATTCCAGTAAGCTTTGTATCTGGTCAACCAATGACCACTTTGAATCTAAAATCCAAGAGGATAAACAGGGATAATAACTTTTAGTTGAAGGAAGTGTGTTAAGTCGCTCAGTCATATCCAACTCCTTGCAAACCCACCAGGCTTCTTGTCCAAGGAATTCTCCAGGCGAGAATACTGGAGTGGGTTGCCATTCCCTTCTCCAGGAGGTCTTCCCAACCCAGGGATCTGGGTCTCCTGCATTGCAGGCAGGCAGATCCTTTTCTCTCTGAGCCACCAAGGAAGGCTGCATGTGCCCAAAACGGAACTGAACGTTTTATATACTCAGTATCTTTTAATTCACCCAACAGGACTCTGAGGTAGGTGGTTTTATCCCATTATACAGAAAATGACATTGAGTGTCAGAAAAATTAAGGAACTTGCCCAAACCATACCACCTATGAGCAGCAGAACAGAGTCAAATCCAGTTTGGCATGACTACAAATCTTGTCCTGTTAAACACAATGCTCCCACTATCCATCATTCTCAGGGGTCATCTGGATCCACATGCTGGTGACACAGGGGTGGACATTTGAGAACAAATACCAAAAAGGGCGGGTGGAAAGCCAACTTCCAAGCTTGAGGGGGTGAGGCCAGGAGGGCTTGATTGACGCTCTGAGCTAGACCCCTCTGCATGCCAATTTCAAGCCATCCACCAGGAACACTTACAAAGGCAGGAGCTCACCATAGCTCTTCACAATCCCCTATGCAACCTCCTCCCAAATAAGAAAACACAGGGAACCCTGAGAAGCACTGATAATGTCCAGCTATCCCCTGGGGTAATTTGACCCTGTTAGTCTTCTTTTTCAAATGGAAGCTGAAGAAACCAGACTCAGAATGCTTCTATGGTGCAGCTCCACAGAGACAGAAAGCAGCTCAGTAGTTGCCAGGGGCTAGGAGCTGAGGGGAAGAACTGGCTACGAAAGGGCACCAGAGAACCTCCGAGAGATGACGGAAATGTTTTCTGTGGTAATTATCATAGCCTTCACACAACTGTATACATTTGTCAAAACTCATTTAATCACACACTTACCAATGGCAGATTTTACTGCATGTAAATTGCTTCTCAATAAAGTGGATTTAAATATACAATACACTTCCCCCACTCCCCCCACCCCACCAAGGATGCTGGCTGGTGAACTTCAGCTAAAATTTCCATTGTGTAGCTGCATTGCAGTAAACCCTTGATCCAGAATCCCTAGGTTGTTCTACCTACCCAGCAGGGAGATTTCCTGCAGGCTGATCACACTAGGTCCGGTGGCAAGAAGGGTTAGAGCAGTATTTTCATGCAAACGCTTCTGTTGCCTTTTAAATAAGGAGCTGTTTGCTAGCATTACCTTGGCTTCCTGCCTCCTTTCCTGAATCTTCAGAGGTCATCCTGTGTACTCGGTAAAAACATTCATCTGGAAAATTGCCTAGAGCCAGATTAAATATAACATCACTGTTTTTAACTTCTATCTCACATGACGTACCTGTCTTTATCTTCATATCTTGTTGCATTTTGAAGGCCATACCTGTCTCTATGCTCAACCCTGAAAGATACAAAAAAAAATCTTGCTAAAAATACTCACAACGTTTGGCGTGGATTAAAAATAAGCCTTTCAGTTACACTCACTCCTCTCTCTCAGCCTATGTGTCCTTTCAGCTCTAGGTCACTCATGCCCCAACACATTCTTTTTAGTAAAAATATTTCTTTCCCCAGTGTGGCCAGTTAGGCTCTCTGCTCTCTATCCAAGACCTCTTATTTGGGGGAAGATCTGGCAGCTTCTGACCCAGGTTAATAGCTCAATCGGAAAAGGAGCATAAGCCACACAAATACAGTCTAACATTGGAAATAATCAGATCAGTCATGCAAATTAATAAGTACATAAGGTTATATCCCAGAGGAAAAGAGTGCAGGCTCATACAACAAAAGCTGCCAGAGAGAATGGATTTTAAAGGGAAATGAAAACTGAAGAGCCGGCCCGGACTTTGGAGTCTTAAAAGCTATTGATGTTCTCTGCTCTTAGGTGTCCTGGCTTTTGGGAGGAAACCATTCTCTGAACCTCACAGCAAAGTGTGGACTGGTCAGAGGTTTCTTGGTAATAAAATAAAAGAGTGAAAAAACACAAAAGACAACACTTTTTCAAATCACATTTAATCATTTATTAAAAGGGGCAGAGTACAGCATTTAAGGAACCAGTCCTATCAACGAAAACTTCTGAACATCAAATGAAAGGAGTCCAAGACCAGATGATAAAGGCATTCAAAAGCACAGAAGCACACATACCTGCAAGGTTTTCAGATTGCACTGATGTACTACAAACTTTCAATGGTTTTTATTTTCACATTTCTTTCTCCAAAAAAAATGTCATTTTCTTACAAGTTTCAGGCTTCAAGACAAAAATTGCATTAAGTCATTGATATGACTTAATACAAGTCTAACATATGCTCTAAGGGCTTTATAATAGGCTATCATTTTATCACTGCCATTTGCTTTTCTTGTGGTCTTAGAGTCGTGAAAGTAAAAGTTTATGATGAGACAAAAGAAAATTAGTGTTGCTTATCTTATATTCATTCCATAAAAAAATAGTTAATTTTTTTAAGTAGGGGTTGGGAGAGGGTGAGAGGAATTGATTGTTAAGTCCAGTTCTAATCTTCTGAGCTGCCTTTGGAATGAAGTTATGAGGTAGGAGTCTTCTACTGACCCTTATGAAGGTGTCCAACAGGAGAAAAAAAAACACAAGTGCCCCCTCTGTAGATTCATCTGAGACTGATTAGACAATTTAATGCTGAAAAAGAATTTTCTCCAGAAAACTCATAGCATTTCATAGATATAACACAAGCACACTAAATTTACGTATCTGCTACATACCAAATATCATGCCAGGCACTACTAAGAAAAAAAATGTTGAAGGTTTGGACCCTCAAGGAGTTTCAGAAATTAATCTGCCTGTTAAGCCCCAGATTTCTTGCAAGTATGGAAGAATCATTCAAGTTATATGAGAACTGGCCCTTGAACGCTCTTTTGTACAAAGAATCTCCAAAAGCCATACAAAGTTCTCTTTTTGTCCCTTAATTTTCAGATGTTACGTCACAAAGCTTTCTTTAGAACCATAATGCCCAAGACCTCAGACAATTCCAGATTATTTCAGTCTGAGAAATGCATCCCAGGAAGCAGATGGCTTCCAAGAGAGCTCATCCAATAAGGCAATGCCCTGAGTCTGTAGCATGGAAGAACCCAACTCCCAAATATTACAACTAAGCACATATACTTTTAGATCTTGAGCCCTGTCCCGTCTCCCCACTCCACTCCCAGCCCCTAAATAAGTAGAGAAGACCACATTTTTTTTTTCAGTAAAAATTTTATTTCCCTCCACCCTAACACATGAAAATTTACCGGGGTAGCGGCTGGAAGACAAGATCATAACTCAGAAGGTAACCATCATTATAGACGAAAAGCTTCTGCTCAAAAGGGTGGTAGTTAATACTTTGCACATTCTCTTGCATTTTCTGCATCACAATGCTAAGTTTGCCCTCTTTTCCTGTGTTTGTGTCATAATAGTAGAAAATTTCTTCTCTTCTGGTGTTGAGAGTACGCATGGCATACAGAACCCCACACACCATGAACGTGTTAGTGACAGATGGTTTATACTGCTTGGTATGCCAAGTGTTGAGCACTGCAAGCGTGCTGTCGTTGAGTTTACTAATCACGATGTTACCAGTGCTGGCTTCAGTTGCATAAATTACCCACAATCCGTTCTCATCCACAGAAAAGTCCATGTCTTGCCAACCAACATTAGCATACGAAAAGCGGTTATTATAGGCAGCATTAGGGAGAATTTGGGTCAAATCAACCTTGTTGGTGGTCAGGTTAATTTTGGCCATGTTCTGGGAGTTGTACCAATTGACATACATGTTGTTCTTATAAACTACTGTACCACTGCCTTGGCCATAGAAAATTTGATTCTCTCGGGCATTCGTATACAACAGCAAATCATCCATTGTATTGTAGAGTCTATAATATTGCAAAGTTCTCCCATCTGTATTCAAAGGTGCCACCCAGTACAGCCCATTGCCTGGATTCTGGGGAGAGTAATCCCGACCCCAGGCACCGTACTTATAGCTAAACCCTAGCCAGTTGAGCTGAACTACAGCTGGTTTGCTGATGTTCACCACACCGCCATGCGCACAGCTCCCTAGAGGAACAAGACAAATAAAAGGACATTCTTAGAGAAAATGCATGACAAGATACAAACAGTTTAATATTCTAAGAGCCAAAGCAATCCATACACATTTTTCTTGTCAACACCATGGTTCTGATGGAGAAGAAGCAAAAGCTACCCTTGGCCTCGGTCTCAATGCAAACGTGCCATCAGTTCTAAAGAGAACTATCTCCTGTTTACATGGATGGGCCTTCAATCTGGAAAATGGGAATAGTGGAACTGTGAACAACCACTTTAAAAAGTTTAAAAAAGGAAGACTTGGTGAATCTAATATATTTTCTTCTATGAGAATGCATTTCCGCAATATTATTTTATTTCATTTTCCTTATAGAGAAATCAAGAAAGCAAGATCACAGGAGAAGGCCTTCCTATTGCCATAAAGCCAGTGGTGCTATTCACCAGGGCCAGGAGAATTGGGATGAAGGAGAAGTCGATCCTGGGCAAGTCTTTCTTCCCTTCCCGTCCCTCTGCCCTTCCCTGGTACCCCAAGGGCATGTCCACACCAGGTACCAATGCTGCCCACGTTAGCCCCAGGAGAGGAAGTTTCTACTATGGCATTTTAAAGATACAGAACGATGGTCCTCGTCCATCCCAAACTCCCTAACTATCCCTTCTCCCCGGCAACGATCAGTTCGTTATCTAAGTCTGTGAGTCTCTGTTTTGTAACGAGTTCATTTGTATCATTTCTTTCTTAGATTCCATATATAAGGCATGTCATATAATATTTCTCCTGGTCTGTCTGACTTACTTGGCTCAGTATGACAAGGTACATACTGCTATATTTAAAGTGGATAACCAACGAGGACCTACTGTATAGCACATGGAACTCTGTCCAGTGTTATGTGGCAGCTTGGAGGGGAGGGGACTTCAGGGGGAAATGGATACGTGTGTGTGTACGGCTGAGTCCCTTCACTGTCCACCTGAAAGCATCACAACATTGTGAATCGGCTATACCTCAATACAAAACAAAAAATGTTAAAAAAAGAAAAGAAAGATGGCCCTCGATGACCTCTAAGAGGACCTCTAATGGTGGGATTTCAGCTTTGAAAAGTTACAAAAGTTGTTTTAAGGCAACATTGCCTTCTCTGTGCCCAAAGCACAGATGACATGGTGACCGTCTCACTGCAGAGTTACAAGGTGGGCCTTGTGGCTCATAAGCCATAGTCTGCTGTTCCGCAGAATGACAGGCCAGCACGTCATCGCTCCCAGTCTGACGCTGTCATTGTCACAATGTGTACAATCAAGTGGGACCAGACTCACCGGTCCGCTGAATCTACATTCCCCGAAACACCCCGATGAATGACTCCAGCTGGGCCTTTTGGCCCTGTGCAGAGTCCTCCCTCTGAAATGCCTGCCAACCCAGACATTTATGAGCCATAAAAAAATAGAATAAAAATCCCCCAGTATTTTTATAATAGCTATCTAAAGATTTGAACATACAGTTTCTGGAATCTTAATAAATACCCTTAAAAAGCTAGCCAGAAATTTTATTGGAATTACAGAGGAAAGTCGACTCCAAGTGCATTGGAGGTCATTTTCCCCACCCTGCTGCCTAGAGCAGAGCAGGTGAGGGAGGAGGGGACAGAACCTGGCTGTAAATGCATGGAGGGATTCAGGGAGCCACCGAGGGCATGCAAGGTGAGCTCAAGCCAGAATCAGAGCTCCAGAGAACTGCCTGATATTAACACTGTGGGGAGCAAGGGGGTGCAAAGCATCCGCCTCCGAGTCTCCACCTCTGATGGCCACAGAAAGACCCATTCCTTTCCTTGTTAAATTCCTCTCCTCTCTCCCCTCCTCACTCAAGGACTGTTAAGAGGTGAAACTGTTACTAGAAATCCTGCTTTTATTTTTCCAATCTGCTGGGACTTTTTGGTCCCGGAATTAAATATGTGCTCCTTAAATGCTCTCATAAATCCGCAGTTGGTGGGAAAACCAGCCAACCATACAACAGGTAGAGAAATGAAACTGCTCTGTACCCAACCTCAAATAATTTTGCATATCATTAAGCAGAACACAGTCGCGGGTTTATTTTAATAATGCATGCGCCATTTCATAAATAAAAAAGCAATGCATGTTCAGCCAAGAGACTGCTCTCCACTAAAGAAATAATAAATAAAATTATAAAGTATTATTTCCTCTTCTAAAAGTGATCTCTCAGATGAATGCTTGTTTGCTTTTGTTTATGAAACAATGCATGAATTATTAAAATAAAGTTAGCAGTGTGTTCAGTTTAATGATAACAAAAACTGTTTGAGTTTCCATATGCTACTAACCAGATTTTCTAGTTAAAATATCTTTCTGGGAACTTATTTATTCAACGACATTTCACCCTGAGGAAATGAAAGAAAGTCACTTTTTTCTTGCAGGTTAGAAGACTTAGGCATTGTTTGCTTAATTGAATCTTGCCCTCCTGGAAAACAAATATCCCAAACCAACAGCAACAAAATATTTAAGGAAAACTTATGTGCTATAACAGAGTCAAGCATTTGATCATGGAATTAAAGATAATAAACTATCCTGTCCTAGAGGGGGAAATCCTTAGATATGAAGGATCCAAAATAAACTCTTAAAAATTACTACTACTACTACTATTAATAATAATAATAACATTTATGATTTCACAAATTGACCAAGAGATTAAAATTGTACCTCTTATAAAAATTCAAAAAGACACATGTATATGCAATGGAATATTACTCAGCCATAAAAAGGAAAGGGTCATTTATAGAGATGTGAATGGACCTAGAGTCTGTCATACAGAGTGAAGTAAGTCAGGAAGAGAAAAACAAATATTGCACATCAACACATGTGTGTGGAACCTAAAAAAAATGGTACAGATGAATCTATTTGCAGGGCACGAATAGAGATGCAGATGTAGAGAATGGACGTGTGGACACAAGGGGAGAAAGGGAGGTTGAGACAGATTGGGAGATTGGGCTTGGCAGGCATGCACGACTGCGTGTGAACTAGACGGCCAATGCGGCCCTGCTCATAGCGCTGGGGGCTCAGCTCTGTGCTCTGTGATACCTGGAGAGGTGGGGTGGGAACGGGGGGTAGGGAGGGCCAAAGGGACGGGCTCTCTGTGGACACAGAGCTGATCCCCTTCTCTGTACAGCAGAAACTCATGCAACACTGTAACGCAATTATACCCTAATTAAAACATAAAATTGCACCTGGTATGAAATTTAAATCTCTTTTCCTCAGCCCACAATCGTTCCTAAACACTCTCATGTCCTTTCTGCTATCCTCTGTTTATCCTCTAACTCCTTTGGACTGTTTTTATAGCCCTGGCTCCCAACAAAAGAAGAGGAAATAAGACTAGAGTGAAGTATTGTCAATGCTACCAATGTGGCCACAACAGTGAGAGACCAGTGACAAGGCTACGGCAGGCTTCCTCAACTCCTGGCTGCAAACTGTCCTAGAAACAAGGATGAAACTGACAGGCCGCCTGGTGCCCACCACCAGCACAGAGCCTTGCATGCCCGTCTCATCTAGCCCAGCGAGAGACCCCATCCCCTACCCCGTCTACACTGAGCCTCTCCCCACGCTGCTTTATCTCATACCCCTTCCCAGCCCCTTCCTGCATTTCAAGGACTTGAGATACCCCTTGTCTTTCCTTATTTATCCCAAATCTTTCTGCCACTGGAACAACAACTCACTGCCCACCATGACCCAAGAGTTGTGAAAGACCAACAAATCCTTTTGCGTTTTCTGATGGAAGAGGACACGCCACAGAACTGAGAACAAAAGTACCCTTTCAGCTACTCCACAAGCAGGAAAGCCAGGATAATTTGGTGTTAATCAGGTTAGTGAGCTGTTGGAACTTTCTTATCACCCCAGGAATCACAGGTGCAAGCTCTCTCTCCATTTGTGCATCTGAGGAAGGCAGCCTGGTACAGTGAAAACGTTGCCAGACCGGTTCCGATTCCAATCCTGCTCCAACACTAGGGAGCTGAGGATCCTTGAGTGGCTTGCCTAACCTTCTGAGTGTCAGCTTCCTTGTGTTAGAAGAAAAAACAATACCTACTCTGCAGAAAAGTTAAGAGTACAGAAGACAGGTACATTTAACTCAATAAATGATCAGCATTATAATCACATCAAGTTACAACTGAAGGTTTACATTAAATAGTGGTTTCTGGAGGTTTATGGACCCATCCTGGTAGCCAAGTGCCCAGAACAGTACCAACCACACAGTGGCACTAAATTATGGAATGAAGAACTATTTAGACCTCCCCAACTCACCTTTGTTGTTATGGTTATCATTTTAGTCACTAAGTTGTGTCCTTAGCTTTAATTATAAAAACACCAGCTCTTTACCCAAGAATATATCTGAATGCTTCCAAGAGCCTGGTATTCACTGCACAGAACATAGTGCAAGGAACTCTCCATACCAGATAGCCTTGTTTGGCAATCGCTTCATCATGGAAGCTATTAGATATTGCCATGGTATTCTGAAAATATCCTGGGAGGCCACAAGGTAAGACTTTAAAATACTCTAACTTGTTTTTTTTTTTTTTTTAGTCTCATGGTTAGCAGCACTTTTTAAAAAAAACTAAAGATCATATACCAGCAGAGGAAACATGGGGTTTCCCACATGCCTCAGTGGATAAAGAATCTGCCTGCAATGCAGGAGCTGCAGGAGATGCGGGTTTAATCCCTAGGTCAAGAAGATCCCCTGGAAGAGGAAATGGGAAACCCCTCCAGTATCCTTGCCTGGAAAAATCCCATAGACAGAGGAGCCTGGCAGGCAACAGTCCATGGGGTCACAAAGAGTGGGACATGACCGGCCACACTCAACAAGAGGAAACTTAATCTTGGATCCACCAATGCTCCCTGTCACCTGGGCAACTGAACTTGGAGCAAAGATGAGAATACAATTTACTCGTGAGACTCAGGCAATCAAAATGGTCATAATCATAAAATAATTAAGATGAAGTTGACTCTGAATTGTTGGATATAGGCTCCCCAACGCTCAGCTCTCCCCTAGGCTCGGGATTTTGGCCAATCAGCCTACATCTTTCTTGGGCCATTTACTGTGCACCTACTTTGTGCCAGCACAGAGCCTTGCATCTCCACCTATAACAGTGATGATCCTAGGCATTAGCATCCCATTTTCCTATCTACAGTCCTTTAGATCCAGGGAGAAGCACAGACAGAAACCGAAGTCGGTTGTTCTTAGGGAAAACAGCTAATGAGCACAAGGCCAATTATCTTAGATTAGGAAGTTCTATGAAATGAAGCAGAAAAGGATGCCATTTATGGCATAAAGCATCTATAAAGCACATTTTATCGAACCCTAACGCTGTGTATTGGTTCTCAGATCAAGCTGACCACGGGGGTAACAAACGGCAGCTGCCTGCATGGGCCAAGACAGCACAGAATTACTTTATAGCTGAAATTGCAGCGAGTCTTTCTTTCTTTCTTTCTTTTAAATTCTCTGCAACTCTGCAGTGAAGAAAAGCAAACAGGCCAGATTTTAAAGTCCCATAATAGTGAGTAACTTTAATTAAAGTCTCCACAGGCTCACAATGTGGTGGCGCCTGGGGATTTTCCAATCCTGCATTATCAACCAGTCCAAATAGAAAGAGAGCGAGTGAAAGAAATTGATTTCAAAACATGACGAAAAGTCAGTTTAATATAAACATCATAAATATAATATGAACAGAGCTGGAGGAGGGCCAGGCGGCCTGGCAGGGATCCAGCTACAGCCAAGGTTGTGGGAAAGTGATGGAGTCTGCGTCCAATTTGCTTAAACAACACAGCTGGGCTGGACTGGCTCACAAATGCCTAAGTGTTGAGGACCTGGGGGAAAGTTCTAGAAAAAAAAAAAAAAGCCAACAAAAATAGGAAAACAGACTGACCATTTGCTTTCTTCCTTAGATCCTAGGCAGTGTGCGTTCTCCCCCACCACCGGCCTTGAGGTGCTAACATCCAAGGTCCCCAGATGATAGGCAGGAAGGGGTCCAGCACCTCAGCCCCAGCTCCATCACCTATGGTCTGTATGACCCCAGGAAAAGCTGCACCCTCCCCACCATGCCCCCTCCTCTGAGACATGGTGGCCCCGAACCTTCTTTCCTGCCCTAAACTGTCTTCATTCCAAGGGATGCATAGAAAACTGCCAGAAAATTTATTCCATGAGGGCAGTTTGCTGAGGCTTAAAAAAAGACGGGGCAGGGTGGGAGAGGCCGGGTACTTCCCTGGTGGCCCAGTGGCTAAAAATCCACGTGCCAAGGCAGGGAATGGGGGCTCGACCCCACATGGCACCGGGCAACAACGCCTGCGGGCCGCAGTCACTAAAGCCTGTGCATCAAGAGCCCGTTCTCTGCACCCAGAGAAGCCTCGGCAATGAGAAGCCCGCACCTGCAGCTGGTGAGTGGGCCCCGCTCACCGCGGCCACAGAAAGTCTCGCCCAGCAGTGAAGAGCCAGTGCAGCCAAAAATAATACGTAAACAAGCGAATGAAAATAAGTTCTTCCAAAAAATAAAAAGAGAGAGAGAAAGAAGGGGAAAAGGAAGGGACAGATGAAGGGAGGAAAGAAAGACATGCTCAGGTCGTATCGAGAGGGGGTCACTGTTTGACTCCTGCCCTCAGGGAGCCCTTTGGCACCCCGCAGACCGAGCTCTCATTTCCAACAACCTTGACACCGCTCATCCCAGACCACATTTAGCCTAGTTTATTACAGAGGACAGAATGGCCTTTGTCCCAGACCTCCTTTGCGTGTCGTATTGTGACAGTCTCAACCACAGAGGGAGGAAAGATAGGCCTCTGAACAACACCAAGAGGATTATAACAATGGCAGTATTTAATTAAATCCTTAAAGAAACCTATGACAGTGACAAGGATCCAGAAATGCATGGACTGAAAGGAAGCAGCTTGTGACAATAGGAGTGAGTGAGAATCTCAAGAGCTGTATGATGTGATGAAAACGGATACGGTCCCCATTCAGGCTGAGATGCTCAGGACTTGCAGAGAGAGCTTCCCTGTGACCCCGGCTCCAGGGCTGGACACTACAGCTTTAGTTCACCTGGAAGGATGTGCTGAAAGGCACACGGATCTAGCTCTGCTTTTTTGCAGCAAGGTGTTCACTTTAATTATCCTCATTAATGCAATAACAATCGCCAGTGTATAAAGGTCAGTCACAGAGCTGTGAGCTTCTCAAAAATTGTTTTGTGAATCCTCACTGCAACCCTGCAAGGTAGCTAGTACTGTTCTTCCATTTTACCAAGGAGGAGATTAAGGATCTTTTTGCCATGGCTATGTAGCTGGGAAGCTCAGGCCTTTGGCATCCCAATGCCGAGCTCCCGATCCATACACTCCGCCACTCCATTTAAGGAGGCAGTTCAATTACAGGCTCCCGTCTCTATGCTACACCTAACCCCTCCCTTCAAGGGTGATTCCTTAGAGAGGGACACACCATTCCTGCCCTCCAAGAACTCGCAGTCTAAGGAAGATGGTAGGACACGCTACGTGGCATTGGACATGTGGGTACGTGCTTAGTCATGTTTAGTCGTGTCTGACTGTTCACAACTCTTTGGGCGATAGCCTGCTAGGCTCCTCTATTCATAAAATATTGCAGGCAAGAAAACTGGAGTAAGTTGCCACTTCCTCCTCTAGGACATCTTCCTGACCCAGGGATCAAACTTACATCTCCTGTGTCTCCTGCATTGCAGGCAGATTCTTGACCCATTAAGCCATTGGGCCATCCATTACATCCTCACTGAATCCTAGGACATGCTACACAGCATGTGCACTTAATGGGAGCAGGAAGGAGAAATAAAGAGGTGGAAGAAGAGAGGGAAGCTGGCGGAGATGGAAAAGAGGCAAGGAGGATTCAAGGCAGAACCCGACTCATCAGATAAATGGGCCAACCAGCCCTTAGAATCCTCAGGACAGCGAAAGTGATGCCATGCAGATTGCAGACGTTTTCACCTGGCCCCCACTAACCAGCCCATCAGCATAGAGATGTTCTCCCTGCTAGCAAATGCAAAAAGGTTATGTGCAACTCGTGGATTTTGTTTTGAATCAACTCATCATCCGCGCTTCTCCTCTGTGTGCCCCAGAATGTGATTGTGCGTAGAACTGGTAGGTGAGATTTAAAAGCACAGGAGAATAAATGCAGAGTTGCAAAAATCCTATCTCCCTTCCCCACCCCAACTTCAGCCCCTCCAGAGCCTGGGAAAGACAGCGCACCCTTACCTGGCGCAGGGGGCAGGGGGGCACTTTCGACCTTAGAGGCCTCGCATTCCTTGAGCCTGTTCTTCAGAGCCACGATTTGTCGGCGAATGGCAAGAACGTTGTTTTTGTCCAGAGTCTCAAGCTGCTCCACCAGGAGAGTCATGTTCCTGATCTAAGGAAATCAAAATTCAGAGCAATTTTCTGTTATCAGGCAACTTTTTTCATAAACATTCCAGGGCTGAATTTGTCACTTCGGGAAAGGTTGCCAGAGAATACACCCAAGATTCTTCTAAATGGTTTCATTTGGAAGAATACATTTCATGGTTTAGCGTGAAAGCCTGTCGGATCGCAAGCCAACGTGTGTGACAAGAAGAAAATGGCAAAGATTTTAACAGCTGTAATGATGGAGAACAGGTTCCATCGAAGCATCCCCAAACGTCCATTAAAGTTCATCTCTGACAACTTTCCCCTGTAAACTCGTGTTTACCCATGCCATATTATAATTAAGTTCCTAATGAATGGTGAGGGCCAGAGAAAGCCTGAATCCTAAAACACAGAAATGGAATTCTCAATGCTGTTCCATGTCATGACTGTGCTAGGAAACTCCTCGCTCATGTAAATTATCCTAGCCTAATATGAATGAAATGGTCTTTATTCACAGAGTTTAAAAGCCTTCAGAAAAACATACTTACAAGAAACTCCTTTAAAGAGACTTGGCAGTATGTGGAGAAGCGTTCCAAGAGGGATTAAAGATTTTATGCTCGTTGGAAAGAAGAAACGGACCAAGCAAGTCCAAGATCAGGTAAACTGTGACTTTCAAGTCCCATGAGGATAAATCCAGAATGAAGACAACCCCCTGACCTAGCTTGGCCTTGGAGTTGTTCACACTTATATATCATCTTCTTTCTAGAGATATTGAAAGCCATTTGACTCTGGAGTGGGACTCTGACCACTAGACAGCACCTACCCCTCAGTTAATATGTTCCCCATGTGTGTAATTTACTGCCAGGCATCCATCTAAATTAGAACACAGGATGTGCCAGGTGGTCATGAACAAGTATAGAATTAGACATCAGAAGAAAAAGATTCCTCTCCTGATCCTAGCACTTGTTCACCAAAGAGTGGAAGTGTTAATCACTCAGTCATGTCCAACTCTTTGCAACCCCATGGACTGTAGCCCGCCAGGCTCCTCTGTCCATGAGATTCTCTAGGCAAGAATACTGGAGTGGGAAGCCATTCCCTTCTCCAGGGGATCTGCCCAACCCAGGGATTGAACCTGGGTCTCCTGTATTGCAGATGGATTCTTTACTGTCTGGGTCACCAGAGAAAGAGACTTTGTTACTAATACACAAGCAGTGATTTCGTACCTCCACTTCCAACTGGTCGATGATCACTGAGCTTCCGGTAAAGCCGACCTTCAGCTGCTCGATCAGTTTCTCCATCTCCTTCACTTCCATCTTGATCAGCTCAAAGTCCAGTTCAGTGTAAGAAATGGAATCTTTTTCCATGATCGATACTCGGACAGTCAGGTTTAAGAGTTTCTCTTCATACACGCTGATTAATTGGACATACTCCTTTACCTGAAGGGCAGACCGCTGAGTCAGTTCTCAGGGGGATGCCATGCAGCCTTGCTCTACTACCAAGTCCTCAGGGATTTGATCATGGGCAATCTTTTTTAAGTAAAGCAAAGTATCAAAAATATATTTAACTAGATATTTTTAAAAATCAATCCAAGTACAAACTAAAAAGAATTTATTGTTACATGGGGAAGGAGGTGGCTTTTACACTTGCCCAGACTAAAAATAATTGTGCTTCAGATCATCAATCGCAACTACAGTTTAATCTCCACTTTAATGTTTGAAGATATTAACTCTCCAAACTACAGTGGCTTGAATCAGGCTTTTGCCCACCCTCTTCCACTCAACACACATGCTCTAAATCAGGGTTTCGCAACCTCAGCACTATTGACATTTGGGGCTAGACCATTCTTTCTTGTGCATTATGGGATATTTGACAGCATCCCCAGCCTCTAAGTGCAAACACCACCCACCCACCCCCAGCTGTGACAACCAAAAATGTCCCGGACACTGCTAGATGTTCCCCAGGTGCAAAACCACCCCCACCCAACCACCGCCTCCCTCCATTTAGAACCACTGCTTTAAATTGAATTATTTTCTAGAAGAGGGAGAAATGCTCTAAGAAGAATTCCCTCTTTGATTACCATATGCAATGAGTTTTGAATCCCTCTGCCTTCTACATAGTACCATAAAGACTCAACCTACAAATTATGGTTTTCTCTGGAGTGTCCAGGAGTGGGATTTGCTGGATCATATGGTAGCTCTTTTTTTTTCAGTCTTTTTAAGGAATCTCCATACTGTTTTCCATAGTGGTTGTACCAATTTTCATTTCCACCAGCAGTATAGGAGGTTTCCTTTTTCTCTACACCCTGTTCAGCATTTATTATTTGTAGACTTTTTGATGATGACCATTCTGGTGGATGTGAGGTGATACCTCACTGTAGTTTTGATTTGCATTTCTCTAATAATTAGTGAAGTTGAGCATCTTTTCATGTGCTTTTTGGTCATCTGTATGTCTTTGGAGAAATGTCTATTTAGTGACCAACAAGGACCTACCATATAACACAGAAAACTATACTCAGTTTGAAATAACCTATAAGGGGAAAGAATCTGAAAAAAAAACAGATACATATGTATGTATAACTGAGTCACTTTGTTGTGCACTTGAAATTAACACAATACTGTAAATCAACTATACTTCAATTAAAAAGAAAAAGACCCAACTTACTCCACAATATGTGAGATATGTGCTACTATAAAGTGCACATTTCATTAACTGCATCCCCATATTTATTCCAAGTTTTTTCCAAGAACTGATTATTGCAATCAGACCTTTAAATTACACATTTGTTGCATATATTTGAATGTCTGATCATTAAGCTAAAATACTTCCAAAAATTCCCATGGTGACTTAGTGTATAATTGGAATCTCCAAATGGATATTTCAATAAACACAGTTGGTGGTTCTTTCAGTATCTGATCTCTAAAAGAAATGCCACGGCTTTTTTAAGGACCTGCTCATTAAAAGTTGCCAGCTTTTACACTCTTTTAAAAATTTGAAGAGAAGTGATGCTTTTCCCCCAAACTGTGCTAATGTCAAGTTGCTGATCCACAGGGCCTGGAAGAATTCAGAGCCAGATGTCAGCTTTTAATCCTTCTAATACCAAAGGCAGCCCTAACTTCTGTCATTTTAGCCCTTCCACTTAACCCCACTGTACAAATAGAGTAGACTCATAGGCCACAGACCTAAAGGCCTAGGGCTGCAGGCAAAGAGGATTTTAATGAAAGTTGAAAACACAGCCCTTGGCACTGCTAGTATATCTCCTCAGGCAACGGATGCTCATTGCAGTCAGAAGAGGCTGATAAGGCTGGTGACATTTTGGTGGATAAGGAGGTTAAAAAAAAAAACAAAAACACATATATATATATGAACCTAGCAAGTCTCACTCAAAACCACAAACGCAGATATAAGGTAGCCAGGTTTCAACTTCGCCAAAAATCAGGCATAAGATTTTTGGCTGTGAGAAAAACAATAATAATAATGAAGTGCCAACCCACGGCAGAAATGGAAGTTCGCAAAATGAATATTCTTGTTGGCATTTGGCCTTGCCAGCTCTTGGAACAAATGAAACACCCTCAGCTTTCCTGGAACATTTTGGTGGCATATCACAGCTGTTGTTCTATAAAAATGAGTGATTCAACTGTCATTTCTGCTAAATGAAATGTGGCTCTCCCAGATTCACCCTGCACACCAAGGCCGATCCTGACGTTTGCTGCCTCGGAGCACGTGCAGTGGGCCTGCCCTGCTTCTGCCACAGAGTGAAGGGTCTTGAAAGGTCTGTTTAGGGAAAATGTTGAGGTTCTCTCAACTAACATTTCAAGAATAGCTCCAGGATGTTCAGGAAAATTGGAATCATCCACAGAGTTATAGAAGGTGGGAGAGAATTTGAGAATGGGCCAGAAAGACTTCATGGTGTGCACTGTAATCATTTAAAGAGACTATAAGCCTGAACCCTTTGCATGTACGGATCTCTAGTGTTGATATGGAACGGACAATTCTGGAAACATCCCAGCTCCTTCTGGAAGGTGCAGCCTCAGCAGAGGCAGCCCAGCTTGCCCAGGGTCATCTAGCCCTAAGGGGACACCTCCCTGTGTCAACATCTCTACTGCAGAGCTCCCCATCACTACAAATTTGAGCTTTAGATGACTCATCTATGCTTGCCTTCAAACCCTCAGCCTTTCATGCAGAGTTTTTCATTCTTCTATTTGTTATGCACATATCATATCATTGTTGGATGCTCAGGATCAGACTCTACAGAACCACCACCACTGGGGTCTGGTTGCTGTTCACTACATCATGGTCTTGCAATAGGTAAGAATTCAGCCCCACTGACTAAAGAATTAATCTGGCTCCCGTTTCTGCCAGTTCCTCAAAACCTGTGATCATCACCATAGCCAGATTATTCAAATCAAGTAAATGCACTTTGCCACATACTGTCATTTTAGTATATTTTTAACAACAAGATTAGCTGAGTGTGAATTGATCATCAAGACAGATGAAGTGAGACTGTGGAGCGAGACCCGCCTAAGCACAAATCAGACTTCTGTACTTCATGGGCAAATCCCTTAATTTCTCCAAGCCTCCGTTTCCTCCTATAAACTGGGGATAATGGTATCACACTTACAAGATGATTGCAAACACTAGAGATAATGTATATTAAGTGCCTGGTATAGTGGGTGCCCTATAAATTACAGCAATTATTAGAGAGACAGTTATTTAAGGCTTTTTTTTTTTTCTATCTGACCTTTTAATTTATTATATTTCACTGCACAAAACATCACTCAATCGCTGTTGTTTGTTTACGGGTTGCCTAAATGTCTCCCCGGCTGCCTCAACTCTCTCATGCATGAGGCACTATTAGCAAAAGTGTCATATTAAATAACTTGCCCTGAAGACCATAACCCTCTAGAGAAAAAAAATTCTCAGCCGCCTTTTGTGCTGCCTCCTTCCTAAGTACAGTCACAAGGGGACATCTCAGAAACCACAGCAAAGCAAATGCTTTCAGCATCTTGTGCAGGGGCCATCCCTGTCTTCTCCGTGTCCTGACAGATAATGAATCAATGTCTGGCAGTCCAAATCCTTTTCTACCGGCCTGCTCAAACAGGCATTCCCCCAGGCCTCCAGACAAACGGGGATTTCCAAGGCAACCTAAGGACAGCTATAATAATTCACCTGGAACTCAAAAGCCCTCAGCTGAAGAGATAACTTTGGACGGAAAGCATTACTAACCTGCTGCATCTCTTCTTGTGTGTGCTGCGCTTAGTCGCTCGGTCGTGTCCGACTCCTGACCGCAGGGACTGTAGCCCACCAGGCTCCTCTGTCCATGGGATTCTCCAGGCGAGAATACTGGAGCGGGTTGCCATTTGCTCCCCCAGGGGATCTTCCCAACCCAGGGATCTTTGAATCTGTGTCTCTTGCATCTACTGCATTGGCAGGGGATACTTTACCCCTGAGCTACCAGGGAAGCACGCGTCTCTTCTTAGAGGATGGTAACAGCATGGCCAAGAGCAAAGACAAATGGACTGAGTCCCAGACCCAGATTCCTGACTTGGTGAAGCCAGCCAAGAGACCTTTGCATTTATGCCTCTTTACCCGTATGAACCTCAGCTGATCCATCCCTACCATGGGGGAAAGAACACTGGCCTACTTGCCTTAAAGGGTTTGTTGAGTGTAGACCCAGAAACATACAGAAAAAGCAGAGGGAAGTTGTTTGTGTTACTGTTGTCATCCTTAGCTGGCACACCCTGAATCCATTATGTAAATCTCAGGGGGCAGGTCAATTCCTTTCTTAGGCCTCAATTGCGAATTTATTTTAGGACCAGCTCCTGACACTTTCGGAACTGAAAGTTTCTTCATCTACTCTATACTTCTTCCCCATCAAGTATTAGCAAGGCAGATGCCTCCTGCCCATCTCACAGGATTAGGGTTATACATCCCAGATTCACAAACCTCTCCCTGGAGCAGCCTGGGGTTTCAAACAGCCCTTCACATCCCTGCCAGCCAAGAAGACATGCAAATCAGTAGCTTCCACTATTTCAAAGCAAACGACTCTAACTGAAAAGATCCTTACCTAGGATTTTCCTCCACTTGTTATGTTTTTATGCATAACTTCTTATCTGTACTTGATTATGCTGGAATAAGACTATGAATATTAATGATTGGAATTTATAATTTAGTGCTGTGCCTTTTCTGCTGATTAATTCAAGGACATTTTATTTCCTAAGAAGCGAGGCTCCTGGAGTCGTCAAACACATTTTCCTGGACACTCATTTAAACTCAGAAATTTATCTACCAATTCAGGTTGAAAGTAGGGGCTCAGCCTCATTGGAATTTTGTCTTAAAAGATAACTAGGCTGGATGTTGAGATAGCTGAGCTGAAATTTCTTGGAAAACTTATTTCGAATCTTGCAGGAAAGCCAGAGCTCCTTGTAAGTTAATGGAGTGGTATTATTAGTAAATAATGCATCATGTGATGATAGCCTAGTGTGGACTTCACCTGTGCAGAAAGCAGGAGCCTTTCTAACTGATTTTGACTTGGCTAAAAAGGTTAAAGGGGTCAAAACTGTAATGCCAAATTCATTGTTCCAACCAGCTCGGAGAAGGGCTAACTCAGGGATATGATGTTCTTGGGCTGAAGAAAGCAGTAATCAGGGGTTCAGGAGGTTTCTACCAAGGCTGAGTGACCTACTAGATTCAAATTCCCAGGAAAGTCTTCAATTTGGGGTTAATGCGAGATTTATCTGATATAATGTCCCTGCTAAGACAACAGAGGCTAACCCCAAGGAAGAGAGAGAGGCAGAGATGGAAGAGACAAAACAGGGGGAAGGGAGGAAAAGTGGGGAGGGGGCGGAGGTGAGAGGGAGATTCGGGGGAGGGGAGGAGAAGGAAGGGGAGAGACCGTGCAAGAGAAGACCCAAAAGAGTGAAAAATGAAAACAAAATGAGAAAGAAGAGGAAAGGACTGAGGCGAGAGGGGAAATAGAAAGGAAGGGAGGAAGGAACGGAATAGGAAGAGGATGAGAAAAACGCAAGGACAGGAAGACAGAACCTAAGGACAGAGGAAAGGAAAGAAAAGAAAGCAAAGCTGGAAGAACACCAAAGAAGAACACCAAAAGGAAGAAGAAACCACAAAGCCAAATAAAGTTTGCAGGGTTGAAATTTACAGGCTTCCTTCCAGCTTCCTGCACACCACACTACTGAAGAGAGCTTATCCTGTGGGGTGAATCATCTCCACCCCGTCTTTGTCCTGCGTGCTCACCCCTCCTGCTATAAGGGACTCCATAGGTTACTGTGAAGCAAACGCTAAAGCGTCCATTAGACGCAAATGTGCTCCTTGAGAGAGTGAAGAATGGCCGCTTACACAGCCCTGAAGAAAAGGCTGTTGTCTGTGTGTAACAAGGTATTGTTGGGAGAGGCAAAAAGAGTAAAAGGCTTACTTTAGAGAGCTCTTTCTCGAACTTCTTGGAGATAGTCTGAGCTGTGATTTCCAGGCGTTCCACTCTCACCACAGGAAAGGTGTTGTCTGGCAGGATAACGGAGCACTGGCAGACTCCACGGTCATCTGTGTTGCCGGTGAAGTTGAAAAATGACTGCAAATACGAGTTCAACATCAAAAAAAAAAAAAAAACAAGTTCAACATCAGCGATAAGCTAGGCAATGAGCTTTTTGGCAAGGGGGGTGGCAGAAATCGACTTGTCAAAAGAGTGCTTCAGTTCAGTTCAGTTGCTCAGTCATGTCCGACTCTTTGTGACCCCATGGGCTGCAGCACGCCAGGCCTCCCTGTCCATCCCCAACTCCTGGAGCTTACTCAAACTCATGTCCATTGAGTCAGTGATGCCATCCAACCATCTCATCCTCTGTCGTCCCCTTCTCTTAGAGGCTAGCAAATGGAACCCAATACGTAAATGAACAGAGTCACAGAAACATCCCAAAGCTGCCACCATGTCTCACGGGCACAGCTCATTCAGTGGTCAGTCACCTCTCCACCTGTTAAGCAAACCACGTGGTTCAACTTTCCAGGAGAGTCTTAAAGGAAATTATTACTGTCCCCATGTAAAGGAAAAAAATTAAAGTGATGAGAGGCCTAAGATTGAATTCTAATTCTGCCAGTTACTGGATCTGAATTCTCTTCAAGTCTCCGTTTCCTCATCTGTCAAACAGAGAAGATCTACTTCACAGGGCTGTCCCCAAGAGGAACCAACTAATGTAAACCAAGTCGCTGGTACATGGTAGGTGATCAGTAAATGTCACTTTCCCTTTTCCTTCTGCTTACTCCTTTTCTTTCCTACACCTCTATGCCAGTCCCAACTCATTGCCTTCCAGTAGAATGAGGAAAACATCAAAGACAGGGGTTACAGTCAAGTTGTACAGTGCAAATTCACATTCTCTCTTCACCTGGGAAAATATATAATTAATATCCTTCAAAATGGCAACAAACCAGCCATTTGTCACAAACTGAACAATGTATGAGTTTGAAGGTTTTGTACAAATTTTTTAAAGTTTCCCAGCTTACCACTTGCAGAAAAGTCGTTTTAAAATATTTGATGTTTCTTTAATATATTCAGGCTCACACTTTGGTGCCAATGCATATTTTAAAATGACAGGTTTGAAAGATCCTGTTTTTCTTTTGTCCCCTTTGAACTTCCCCAAGGGGATCCCAGCACAATTAACATTTTTTTTTATTACTCCAATTGCTTTGCAGAGTAACTCTTGGCAGCCCGCTGACTGCCTTTCAATGATCTTCTCTGACGGCTAGCCCAAAGCTCACCTGTAGAACATCAGCCTGAAGGGTCTCTTTCTGACACTACCAAGGGCAAAGTGATGGTTTTCAGAATTTGAAGAGATGAAGGCTACACTTCTCAAAGTTTCAGAGGTCAGCTGGCTGTTGATGAGGTTGTGTGCTCTGTGATTTAATGTCTACCAACTTCCCTAATTGCTAAACAAGCTGAACCTGGATGCTTGTATAATCAAAATCTAGCTCACCAGTGACCCCTGGACCAATTAATTCAGTCTTTTGAAGCTAAATTGCTTGTTACGTGTGTGCGCACTAAGTCGCTTCAATCATGTCTGACTGTTTGTAACCCCATGGACCATAACCCATCAGGTTCCTCTGTCCATGGGAATCTCCAGGCAAGAATACATGCCCTCCTCCTCCAGGGCATCTTCCCAACCCAGGGATCAAACCCGCATCTTTTATGTCTCCTGCAATGGCAGGCAGGTTCTTTAACACTAGAACCACATGGGAAGCCCAAATTGCTTGTTATTTTAACCTAATCTTCTTTTAAGATGAACAAATTATATATGTATATGAGTGAGTGAAAGTAATTCAGTCATGTCCAACTCTGCAACCCCATGGACTATAGTCAGCCAGGGTCCTCTGTCCATGAAGTTCTCCAGGCAAGAATACTAGAATGGGTAGCCATTCCCTTCTCCAGGGGATCTTCCTGACCCAGGGATCGAACCCAGATCTCCCACATTGCAGGCAGATTCTTTACCAGCTGAGCCACCAAGGAAGCCCAAGAATAAGGGAACAGGTAGCCTATCCCTTCTTCAGCAGATCTTCCCTACCCAGGAATCAAACCAGGATCTCCTGCATTGCAGGCAGACCTCTTTACCAGCTGAGCTACCAGGGAAGACAAATATATATACTTATTTGTACCCAAAACACTGTATGGCATGTTAATTCTTAACATTGGCCTCAACTTGTTTTGCCAATCACACCCCACTCCTGCAAACCTTGGGGAGTAAGAGGAAGGACAAGCAGGTTTATGCTAAACACTGGGGCTGGGAGGAAGGGAAGGGAAGGGTCTTTACCACGGACAAATAAGGACTAGACAGGTCACATCAGCAGCCTGTGGAAGAAGCCAGCTTCCCTGGAAGCCAGCTTTATCACTCACATGGAAGGTAGAAAGCCTCCAGTTAAAGGTGCCAAGGTTTTTACAGGAGGAACCGTATATCATGGGCCTTTGAAGAAACAGCTTATTATAACAACTGTCTACCGAAAGGTCCTGCATTGCATTTTGACAAGAGGAGGTCAGTTAGCTGCAGAAGATAGGGTTGGACCATTCTGAGAGTTCTTGAAAAAGCTCTGTCAACTCCCCATACAGTAGAGATCATCAAGCAGTTTCTAGACAATCTACTAGAAACCACCAGCTCACAACTTTTCGTCCTAAAGTTCACCTGAAAGGCAGGCAAATAATTATGAGCCCTGCTGACAGCCATCCCACTGTCTTGAATTGAACATCTCTGTCCTAGCGCTGTGGACTCCCCAGCTCCCATCCTGTTTATCATCAGCCCAGGGTGCTCAACTGACATCACAATGGTCCATAAGTTTGATCAGTGTTTCCCATTAGAGATATTTCTGTTCCTTGCATTCAGAGATGATGAAACTAATGGTGATGGGTCTCCCTCCGTGGCAGATGCTTAATCTCTTTGTGAGTATAATGTGGGGGATGGGCAGCAAAAATAAGTGCTTGTCCCGTTGGCTTTTGGAAGGGTACATGATCCACCCTGTGGACCCCACAGACACCTTACACTGATCAATTCTCACTCAAGCTGTGTTCAATTCACATTTACTGGCATCTACAATTTTCTAGGCTCTGACTAAAGGAGACAAGTAAGACCCAATTCCTGCCCAGTGAATCAGGCCCACTGTCATTACGAAATCCTTAGTGTCTTTTTTCTCAACAAGTCCTGTAGTCTGATGACAAAATCACCTGGCTTGTGGTTCTGACTCTGCCTGTTGCTGTGTGGGGCGAAGCGTGGAGCCTTACCTTGTCTGCGAAACGAGGACCATGATAGCACCCCCACCCCTGCTTTGGAGGGTGCCATCTGAGGCATCTGAAGCACTCTGAGCAGCAGAAGGTGAGGTGCACATTTGTGATTTCAGGCTGCAATTGGCTCTAATTAGCAGCCAAGTCTAAGTGCCTGTAAGGATTCAAGGCATAAAATAATGGTACTCAATGTTTTCAAAGTACAGAAAATGATACATTTGGAACTTGCTCAATGACAGTATATAAAGGGGTTTTCTACCTCTTTCCAAAGAGCTCATCAAACTGACAGCCAGCCCTAGAAAACTGGGTTTATAGTGGAAGTGACACCTAGCCTGCTCTAAAAAAAGAAGTTGGAGTCGCGATACTAACTCACCAGAGGCAGATAAGTAAACCAGGAAGGAAATTAAAGGCTCTAAGTATAATTTAACAACCATTCGTTATCTACTCTTAAATATTTTTCTCCTAACCAAACAGCAGACACTTTGGGTTTCTCTGTTTCTTGACTTATATTTTCTTTTCTAGTATTTTTAGCTATCATCTTACCCAAAAGCTGGTTTCTACTTGGTGATCAAACTCTGACCTCATTTTTTAAAGAAAATGCTAACTAGGTCTCATTGTCCCCAGAAATCATTTAGTATCATGGAGTAAAATGATGTGGCTTCTGGCTACAAAGAAGCTTGGTGCATATTCATGGTTCTCAAACCATTCTTTTAAAATGAGCACTTTTCATCTATGCTCTCTGAAAATAAAGAAAGCTACATGGAGACAGACGGTGGGAAGCGTGAGCAGCTAGGGGTTTCCCAGGTGGCTCAGTGGGTAAAGAATCTGCCTGCAACCCATGAGACACAGAGATATGGGTTCAATTCCTGGGTTGGGAAGATCCCCTGGAAGAGGGCATGGCAATCCAGTATTCTTGCCTGGAGAATACCATGGACAGAGGAGCCTGGCGGGCTACAGTCCACAGGTCACAGAGAGTCAGACACAACTGAAGTGACTGAGCACTGAGCATATGGACAGCTAAGTCTGAGCTGTATCAGTGGCTGCTTTAGTGACTTTAAGCCAATAACATTATCTCACTAAGCCTCAGTTTTCACATCTCTATAATGGGACCATAAATTTTACTTACCTCTGCAGATTAAATAACATATATTATATACTTAATGTACTCATGGCATTTACAAAAAGCATTTAGAGAACTTGATCGCTGCTTTTTCTATCTGGGCCCTATGCAAGCCATTTGATAACTGCCTTGAGGTTATCAAATGATTTTCATTGCCTTGAAGTTCTGATGGTGAAATGGAAACAAACAAAAGCCTTTTCCTCCTCTCTTCCTATTGGCCCTTCCTGTCCAATGATCACATAAGCAGCCACCTGAAATGTGAGTAAAGATCATAGAAATACAGAGGACAGAAATCACAGCATAGCACGGAAAGCCTAGTCATTAGAGAGTAGGACTCCTACAGAAATATCCAGAGCTGATGTGGGCAGAGTGGAGGATGGAGCTGCTTCCTGCGCCCAACCTCTCACCCCTCCAGGCCTTTTCCCACTTCCTCAAAGGAGATCCATCCCCTAAACTAAGGTCACTGTACGTCCCAGTGACGTGGACCAGCTGCTGTCCTTACTCAGTCGTTTCTGACTCTTCACGATCCTATGGACTATAGCCTGCCAGGCTCCTCTGTCCATGGAATTCTCCAGGCCAGAATACCGGAGTGGGTTGCCATTTCCTCCTCCAGGGGATCTTTCCAACTCAGGGATCAAACCCGGGTCTCCTGTGTCTTCTGCATTGAGGGGGGATTATTTACCTGCTGAGCCCTCGGACCAGTCCCTTTCTGGGGACTTGCTTGTTTTTCATTTGTTTGTTTGTCTTGTTTTCTTGCCCCTGCTATTGTCATTTTGAGCTGGAAAGGACTGTTAAGATTCCTTATAAGAAAGATTGAAAAGAGTTAACACTCCTCCAGGGAAATACCACATGTAACAGCACTTTCCCAAAGACCAAGGTCTGCTCCTCCTGCTCTGTCACCCATCTCCCTTGCAAACTAAGCTCAGAGTCACTTTCAGGGCTCCAACAGAAGCATCGAGGGCCCCTGATGGCAGCAAATCAACTAGACAAACTTTTCTAGAGCTTCTCCTGGCAGGGCTCATCCCGTTACCATTCGTATCTGGGTTAGAACCCAGGCAACTTCATTTTTTAAGTCTCTCCACTCTGCCCCAATTCTAAAGTACAGTCAGGTTGGAGAACCTCTTGAAAGCTTAGATACTTTCCCTAAAGCCCCCAGCTGGAGAACCAAAATGCTGTCTCTCTTGCTAACAATTTAATTATTTTACCCAGGGTTTTAATTCATTTTCAAGGCACCTGCAGTTAACAAAGGGAGTCGTAAATCTTTTAGAGTGTTCAGGACTACCCATCCGTGAAATGACATTCAGGTCTCCAAAAATTCAAAGGAAGGGACAGAACGCGGTTCTTAGACTCCGGGGCCTCCTTACCTGGGACTTGGAGCTGGAGGTGGGCCAGGCAGAGTCAGGGGGGGAGCTGGAGCTGAAGTCCGAGGTGGGGAAGGAGGTGGGTGTGGGGAAGGAGGGGAAGGTGGTGGTGACCCCCCAAACTCTCATGACAGCCAAGTGGAGGAGGCCCAGGAGAACCAACAGACCAGGGAAGCCGAGCTTCATCTTGTGCTCTAGGCTGAAGTCCCTGGGTTTGGCAGGAGCCCCTGGGCTTCTTAAAGGACCCTGCGGGGATTTCCCCCCAGGCCGGTTTACAGGCAAAGAGGAAGCTGCCAGAGAGCACGTGACCACCCAGGAAGGTGAGGACACCCAGGGTCCCAGGCCCCACTCTGCCAGCTGCCCTTAGACCTGGGTATCGCCTGCCAAATATTAACTCAAATGAGCTTGTTGAAACCCCATATCTGGTTTCTGACTTAACACTTCCTTGAAACAGATGAGATGAAATCCGTGGCTAATTCATTTCAATGTATGACAAAAACCACTGCAATGTTGTAAAGTAATTAGCCTCCAACTAATAAAAATAAATGGAAAAAAAAAAAAGAAAGTAGTCTTTGTGGATGAAACAGAGGTTGGGAGCGCCAGGAAAGAAAAGCAAGCCTCCGCACTATTCCCAGAAGCCACCTCTGTTTGTCCCCTGAACTCCCCCCCACCCCCAACATTGTCCTGAATGCTGCCTTCCATGGACGGCTGGGGAACTCTATCTAGAGACCGTGACTCTCCCCAGAGACTCCGTATTCACTGGTGACTACCCAGGCTGTCTCCGACCTCAACCCTGCAGTGTATGCAGCTAAACAGAATATCTCAACAGCCCCTCTAGGAAGGTGACGCCTGCAGTGAGTCCACCCTGGAAACCCAGTCAAGGACTCTCTGCTCTCAAGCACTTGCTCCTGTGAGCTTGACAGAGGAGAAAGGACCCAGGCAGGAAACTGCCCCACACCTAGTCCGGAGGCCCATGTTGGACAGTTTCTTTCTCCAGAAGGTTCTCTCTTGACCTCCTTATCCCAGACCCTGTTGTGATCCGCGTGGGCATTCAAGAGCTCAAGGTGTACTAACGAAACTGAGAAATAGAGGGTCATCTTCAGGCCCCAACTGCAGAGGCCCCAGAGGATGAGATGGCTGGATGGCATCACGGATGCAATGGACATGAGTTCGGGCAAACTCCGGGAGATGATGAGGGACAGGGAGGCCTGGCGTGCTGCCGTCCCCGGGGTCGCAAAGAGTGGAAATCAGTGGGTGACTGAACAACAATCAGGGCCCATGTGCACCTCCCCACCATCTCACAAACCCCTGTGACCTCCACCTTCTGCAGAGGAAGCAAGTGACTTGGCCTGAATAATAAAAACTAGCTCTCTCTCTCTCCTTAGTTAGTGACCTTAAGCAAATCCCTGAGTCTCCTAGTGTTAGAACAATTCCTAAGTCATTAGAATTTAATGCAACATTGTATAAGAAGTTTCTTCTCAGCTTTGAAAGTGTTAGTCTCTCAGTCCTGTCCAACTCTGTAGCCTATGAGGCTCCTCTGTCCATGGAATTCTCCAGGCCAGAATCCTGGAGTGGGTAGCCATTCCCTTCTCCAGAGGATCTTCCCGACCCAGGGACTGAACCCGGGTCTCCTGCGTTGCAGGTGGATTCTATACCATCTGAGCCACTCAGATGTTTTTGCGTGCTTTTTTGGTTTTATTTTTTGTATCCTAACCCAGCTCAGTATGTAAAGTTGCTGGGTTCCAAAACGGAAAGAAAGGCCCTGGCCCACTCCACCCCCATCCCTCCCAGGAGTGCTTTGGAAGACTGGGTCTGAGGGTTCTCTCACCTCAGGGGCTCCACAAACTCAAAATGAACGCGGTGCTCTAGTGAGAAACAGGATCTTAAACTCCTAGCACATTATTCAGATACGCAGGAGGGGATGAGCAGGAAAAATAAGAATGAATGAATAGAGAGTGAGGGAAGGAAAAGAGACAGGGGGGAAAGGTA